GCGCTTGAGGGGGAGCCGGATGACGGGCATCGGGCCCGTATCTGAGCGGCAAGTCTGCTGGCCAGTTGGCTCGGAGACCATGGGCGAGGGACTGGGAGACGGCACCTTGGAGAAGTGGGCATTTGGGAGAATTGGGGTACTGGCCAGTTCGCTGGATGGCTTGGCCGCCGTCGGGCTCGAAGTGGGCCAGCACGGGGGGTCGAGGGGGCACACCCTTCCCATGGAGGGGGAGGGGGCTTTCGATGGGGGATCCTTCTAGGCATGCCCCCTTCGCCCCGGCGTCGAGAGGGGGCCCCTGCCATGGTGGGCCGGACAGGATGATTTTGGATACTCGCCAGTTCGCTCGATATTTTGCCACTGGGCTGGAGGGGCACGCCTTCCGGGGCCTGGGGCCGGGGGGGGGCATTCGATGGGGGGTCCTTCTAGGCATGCCCCCTTCGCCCGGCGTCAAGAGGGGGGGCCCTGCCATGGTGGGCCGGACAGGATGATTTTGGATACTCGCCAGTTCGCTCGATATTTTGCCACTGGGCTGGAGGGGGCACGCTTTCCGGGGCCTGGGGCCGGGGGGAGGTACTTCTAGGCATGCCCCCTTCGCCCCGGCATCGAGGGGGCGGGGGGCCAGATAGGATGACTTCAATGGGGTGGAGGGCCCCCGAAGGCACGCCCAAAGGACCCACCACGTGACCTTGCGATTTTTCAAACGACCAAGTCCCCCCAAAATCCGAAATGTCACTCAGCCATTCGAAAAGGTGGCCCACTTTGTATGGTGTTTTCGTCGTGCACGGACCACCCCCATACAAAAATTGCCCCCGCAGCAATTCCTAGCCACTTTAACTGCATTTTGGATTTTTACACCCCAAATGGGGTCGGTGAGTCTGTGTAGAAGCGACCTGGGCCCAGCGGTCCGGGGTTGGGGGATTGAGGATCCGTGACTGTGGTTGCGTTGCGTTGTGTGAGTGCCGGGGCGGCGGGGGATCTGACAGTGGGGGCCCTGGCAGGGTGACCCTCGCAGCAGGACCCTCGCAGCAGGACCCTCCGGCGCCCCGCCGGCCACGCCACCACGCGCCACGGGCGGTCCTCAGTCCCTCAGCCCCGGGGTGAGGGGGCCGCCGGCGGGGCTTCGGGCCCCACAGAGGGGGGATGGGGAAGGGGGCATGGGGTGCCAGTTGGCGCGGGCGGGGGAGTTGGCCGCTCCGGCGGACGGAGTGGGTGGTTGAAGGGGGGCGCGCGAGGCGGGCGGCCGAGCCCGAGGCACGAGGCGCAAGGCCCGGGGGCATCATCCCGGGGGGTCCTGGTGCCGGCGAGGTCCCCCGGGGGCCTGTCGGTGGGCATGGTTGGGGGCCCTGGGGGGGTCTGCGGGCAGGGGGAGAAATTGGCCAGTTGGGAGGGGGGCGCCGGCGAGGTGCGCCGGGGGCCAAAGTGGGCGTTGGTGGGTAGATTGGCCAGTTGGTACGGGGTCGCAAACCCCCCCAACACACGATATATATATTTTCGATGTGTAGTGGTGAACACCACTGGCAACATGGACCATCGAGAGATATATATATATATCAATCCTTATGCCCCCCCGAAGGTCGAGGGCTGGGATACCCCGGGGTGGAGGGCCCCCAGGGGCACCTTGGGGGCCCGCCCCCGGAGGCACGCCCGAAGGACCCATCACGTGACTTTACGAATTTTCAAACGGCTAAGTCCCCCAAAAATCCGAAATGTCACTCAGCTTTTCGAAAAGGTGGCCCACTTTGTATGGTGTTTTTGTCGTGCACGGACCACCCCCATACAAAAATTGTCCCCCGCAGCAATTTCTAGCCACTTTAACTGCATTTTGGATTTTTACATCCCAAATGGGGTCGGTGAGTCTGTGTAGAGATGAGGTCAACTCGTCTTTGCATCTTCCCTGCCAGGCTGATCCCCTCTCCGGTTCTGATGGTTGCTGCCTTGCGCCGCACCTCAACGCTGGGGGGATCACCCGCCGCAGTGGTGGTACCCGGGACCCAGCCACGCTGGATCCCCTGGTGCCCCCGCTGTGGTGACCGAAGCCCGGGGGCCTTTTGGCCCCCGGCACCGTTGGGGTCTGTGGATCGATGGCCGCTGGCCATACCCGAAACTCAGATTCCTGGAGGGGAGCCGCCCCGTGGGATCCGCCGTTCGCCGGCGTTGTCCACGGGGTCTGGACCCTTCATCCGAGGGCCACATGCCGCAGCCTGCCAGCGCCTTCACGGGCGTCTGGTCGGATCAACTGCGTGCGGACTGGTGCTGAGGAGTTTAGTGGGGGCAATTGGATGGTTTCAGCGTCCCCCCGGTACGCCGGGGGTGCCGCCGCAACCGGGCGCCTCGTGCGCCCCTTCCATTTAACTACATTCTACCCCCTCGGGGGTCTGGGCTCCCGGGACTCCCCCGCCGCAAGGCGGGTGGGCCCCCGGGACGTCTTGCCATGAAGTTACCTGGTTGATTCTGCCAGTAGTCATATGCTTGTCTCAAAGATTAAGCCATGCATGTCTAA